CTGCATTTGGGAAATTGTGGGTGCGATATTCAACAAGCGGTAGCGGCAGCGCTGTAATCGCACAATCATACTGATGATGTTGCAATCTTAATAAAGCTCCATTTGCATGCCAAATTAAGAGTAGACGTAGTAGTTGTTACGGAAGTGTGGCAACCAGCAGTAGCGGACAATGCAGCGCCATTGCACCACAAGTAGCACCTCACTTCAAGTGCGGTCTCCATTGCCGCCAACGATGTACTCAACTGACGTGCGTCCAAAGCGCCAACATGCCACAAGGAAGCGATTTTCAGCAAGTCATATGCAGTCTACTCATCATTCGCACATAAACATGCACATTTTTAACGTACGTATGTATGCAAGTATAGTTACATTCGTCCAACTATTGTATAGCAAAGATTTGGAGTGTTTGTAACCATCGCCAACACGGCGTTCAGCAGCTTTAGAGTCAAAGTGGCGCCGTCAATGATGCGATAGCCATTGCGTCATTCGAACAGGGACTTGTATTGCTTAAATGGCTTGTATAGTTGCAAAAGAAAAATCCACTATTGTCCAACTACCAGGCATTAACACATTGACATTTTATCGTGGCGCAATTGAACGTGATTACTGGTAAAATATTATATTGGATTTGTTGTTGTTAGATTTTATTGAATAGGCTATCTTGTGATAGACAATACAATAGAATTCCACATGCGGAAACATGCTTTTTGAAAGAGCTTTGATCTCACGCTATTTCTTTGTTTGGACCGTTAGGTATATGTGTGGGGTGATCATATGTGACGGGCAAACTCCCACCAGAACGCTGGTGGCAACATTTTAATAATGCTTTAAAAATCGATACGAAAATAATTAGAAAGGTCACATACCAGCGTGGGCACTGAACTTGATCTTTCACATATTACACCCCAAGCGTTTAGCACAACACAACCGCCACTGTGAATCATTTTCTAATTAGCCATTCATGCCTTTTTCTCCACATTCTTAATGTTGTCTTTAAAATATTAGCTATTTAGCTGTAGTAGCCACTCACCTTTGGTTCGCGGAACCCATTATCACGCGGCATTGCCGCTGTGTTCGTTCCGCCAGCTCCGTGATGCTCACTGTAACGCGAACGCATCTCTTCTTCTTTTACCATGTAGCGGTCACGTTCTTTCTCTCCTCCACTGTTGTCTTTGTCTTTGGATATTCCCGTTCCTCGAGTGGTTGGCGAACTGCTGTTCGTCGTCATCGTAGTGATGCTGCTATTACCGCGCGTTTGTCTCTCGCCATCTTTTTTGCCAGATTTGCCACCCTCGCTTCCGCTGCCGCTTCCGCCGCCAGCACTTACGCCTGTAAAAAGCTGTTTAACTTTTTCGAAACCGCCGAGCTTCTTATTGCGTTTTATCGTCTCGGATCCGGCAGTCTGCGACTGTTGATCCTTCCGTCGAAGTGTGTTATTTGCAACTGGATACTTGTCCAGATGCGGATCATAGTGTGAGCCGTCGTCGATGGATCTTTCTCGATAGACGTAACTATCCTTGCGTCGTGTTACATGCAGCTGCTCGATGTGACGCCGTTCCTTCCGAAGAAATGATTCGCAAGCTTTTATATCATCTGCAGTGGTCCGCTTGCGCCATCTAAGTGCAAATATTTCACAAAAAGTACCCTGAATACGAAAACAATAAACAAAATGTTATGCTAATTACCTTGATGTTAGCTCTCCATTGAAGGATTCTTTTCGAAAGTCATTCTCAATACCAGAGTCCCCTTTGTCGAAGCTTCGCTGTTGCAGCTTATCCCGCTTCAGACTGCTGCTATGCATGTCATGGGGGTGTGCCAAACTTATCTCATAACGCTTCATGTTCTCGGGCGAGGAGCGATATTGATCAGTGCTCGTTAGCTGTGAATCCAAACTCTTGGGCTCATAGTCATTCAGTTGTTGGCGCTCCAATGAGCCATCCATTCTCTCACAATGTCGTGTCTCGCGCACATGTGGTTTCCCGTGTACATCCAAATGTGTCTCCCGCTCATACACCTCTTTTTTACCCCCACGTCCATCATCGTAGTATTTAGTGTGCTTATATCTAGAAGTTCTTTCTATCGGTGGCGTTGTAACTGGCGCCGCTGTTGGCGCAATAATATCTAAGTGTGAGCGTTCTGGTGAGTATTTATTTAGTATCTCAGAGGTTTCCATTTTGTGAAAACGCGGTTCGTATGATTCTCTCTCGCGTTCCGGGCTGAGGTAGCGATGCTGCGTTGACTCTTCGCGCACTTCTCTGTTGCGTTCTGGCGAGGCTCCAGTGTCGCGGTGATATCCATTGCGTTCAGGTGACATGCCTTTAATGCGATTAGATATATTGCGATCTAATGTTGCCGACTCACCGAAACGGCGTGTCAAAATTCGTGACTCAAGTCGGGCCCGGCGATAGCCAATATCATCCATAGGTTCATCGCGCAAAGCCGACTGATAGGCACAAGCATCATAACCGTTCTCGCGGGTAGGAGTGATGCTGCGAATGACTGGAACAATTGGCGGCTCAGCAGGGGACTTACTACCGCGAGACTTCATAATAGGCGGCGCTTCATCCTCGTAGTATTTCCGGGTTTCCGTACCTAATCCCTCATCCTCATCGCTTAAGTTACGAGGACTAAGTTGCTGCCATGGGGAAGGAGAGTGCGAATTGGTGATGCGTATGGTAGTAGGCCCGACCGCGGCGGCTTGCGATCCATACGCATCATGCGCGCGTGGTGATGGTTCAATTATAATGCGACTGCCATTGCTATTTCCAATTCGACGGTTATGGGAGTTGGTGTTATAGCTGGCATTTTTTAAGATGTTTTGACTAGCAGAAAAGTCAGTTCGATCAACTGACTGTCGACCCAGCACCATATCAGACATAAGGAGATCGCGTTCCGGTGAACGTAGATCCCTAATATCACGAGCTGGTGAACGGTACTCTCGCTGCGGCGTACGCAGGTCTCGGATGGGTGAATGTAGTGACTGGCGACGTTGGTTTTGTTCTTCATTGTGATCCAACTGTGCATACATGATTCCCTCATTCGGGCGTATGTATGAAAAAGCCGGACCAGACAGTGGTGGTGGTGGAGAAAAGCGTTCCATTGACAAACGCTTTGCCAGCCCATTGACAGTGACGCCCTTGGTAAGCGGTAATTTTTGTGCCGGCAACTGTGAGCTATGCATGTTCTCTTGCGATTTGGATTGTAATGTGAGAATTTTATCACGTATCCCGTTTGATATGGGCCCCTTTCCTAAGATATTGCCGTCTTCAGCAGCTTGCGTACGACTGCGATGGAGCAATTCATTCAAACCACTCTCATGTTTTTCACGCTCGGTTATAGCCTCAGATTTACGACGTTCCCGGTTGAATTGCTCCGCAAAGTAGTCTTCCTTTTGTACGTTTTCAATAATTGGACTAAGTGGCGTATTAATCAGCTGTTGCTTGCTCGAACCATTTAAAGCTTGAAGATTACCAGAAGTAACCGCTGGTTTGGAATCCTTTAAAGATTTTTTGAGTTTACGCTCCGCCTTATTGTACGAGCCAACATCACTCTTACTTCGAACTAGGCGCCTGCCACCGCTGTCTTCAAAGCGTGGATCGCGTTCTACCTGATTGACGTTCGTGTCACTGCGCCGACTGAAGATATTAAAAATAGAAGGACGTTTAGCGCTTTTTTTAGCAGCAGCGTCACTGACGCTGCGCGAAAGTGGTTTTGCCGGAGCTTTCTTCTTGCGAGTTGGTAGTGAATGGAATTTGTTTGGATTCGAATCGCTACTGCGCTTAGTACGAACCTTAAATGTGGGAATATTGTCGCCGTTTTCGGCTTTACTTTTGTGACGCTCAGCTTGAGCGAGTACCAAGGCGGCTTCTTTGCGTATGCTCTCTTCTGAAAGATCAGCGGGAAGCTGATGATAAGGTGGTGCGGTATTTTGAGGTGGTTGTAGGTTAGTTGTTTCGTAGTTCGTTAATTCGTTTGGATGTTTTCCTGCAATTATGGTAGAAGAAAAATTATTAAGCATTAATTGACTAAATCAAATAGCTAATAAGCATGCAGAAGGGCATAAGTATATAAATACGTATGTTTGTATGAAGCATTCCTTTTTATTAGTTAATTTCATCGATTATATTTTTTTTTCGGAGTAATAACGTCCAGATTTAAAAAAAACGTCCTAGAGTATCGCTCAAAAAAACTTTCATTGTTTTATAAAGTCGACTCCACGCAATGAGCGGCAAAGCGGAGAGCGGCTTAAATTAAGACATATGATATACTATTGAAGTGGCCACACAATGTGCGACTTTTCTCAGCGGCAGGCTCAGAAATAAAAGCCGATCATCGCTCAGCAGCTCAATGCATGACCTCGGCCTTAGAGGGCTAGCCTGTGGATAGGACGGGAGTGTTTCTGCAATTGATATACCGAGGTTTAACATTTAGCTTAGTAATAAAATTAATTAGGGAGGTATTACTATTAGTACGGATATTTGTTTGCTGTGACGAGCCAAGAAAGATAGAAATTAGTTATGTAAGTGTTCAGATATAAAACTGATTGTAATATCATTAATAAATACATAATAGTTTCCCCTACTCTTGGGACATTAATAAGCATTAAACGGCTAGCCTAAGTGCTTGAATAAGACTCACAAAGTGAAATCCAAACAATGCAACCGTATTCCAGTATTGGTCTCACTGAAGTGGTGAAAACGGCGTTAGTAGTATATGAGTCGGTGAATTCTTCACCCATCGCCTTACAAGTCCACCTTTGGCTTTAAATAATAATGGTAGATTGGCGCCAACACATATGTTAGTGTTTAGCCGAGCTTCTCCTCCGATTTGTGGTGCCTTTGATTTTGTCACACAAAGGGAAGGGACCTATAGTTGTACGCCGACTTCGAACGGCGATTGTTTTTTATGAGAAGCTGTTTTTTTTTCAGAAAAACAATTGGAGGCTTTTTATTTAGATGTTGGTCGGAAACTAGGCCCTGAGGAATGGTAGTGCGCAGTGCTAACCACTACACCACAATTATGCTTACGTCAACAAAAATATTCCAGATGAACTACCTTTCTAGAGAAGCATTTTTTTGAAATTTCTAAGATTTAGTTGCATTTAATTAACGTTACACTGTTTAAATCTGATTGTAACTAGAATCTATCTTCAATGGAAGATTATAATTTCAAATTATTATTAACTTTAATGGGACAAAGCGTAGGATTCTGCTTAGATAGTCATCCTCTTGACAATATTCAATTTAGTACATTGACAATTAAAAGTTCTGAGCAATTGCTGTTAAGCCCTGTGAATATTATGCCTTTGAAACTCGAATACTTTTGTTGTTATCACAGATGCTGCAATAGACTTTTCTGGCATTCCGCCGAAAGTTTTAAAGATCTAAAATCATTTAAGTTTCTTTATTAAGTAGAAATATAAGTATGATCGAAAAGTATGAATTTGAAAATACGGATTGTAATTTTTAAAATAAAAAATCACTACCACGTGCATCCTCAAAAATTAAATTGCTACCCTGTGTCTGCTGTAAATACTTGTCAAATTGTCGTTAAAGAATAAACGAGTGGAAAAAAATGCAACGGTAAGAATGGCCCATATATGTACGTATGAAAGGTGACGCACAGTGTACGATTTTGGAGTGTGGATGGACAAAATCGTTAAGCTCTATAGGTATAAGAAAAAGATATGGGTTCAAAAGCCGTTATAATGGCTTTCAGGGAAAAATATGCCGTTATATAATCATTATACGTATAAACCCCCCAAACAAAATTTGGTTGGAAAATGAACCTTCAAAAAAAAAATAATACTTTGCTTTGACTAGCTCCAACAAAAAATTTTATTTTTGGTTTTATGGACTTTTCTTGTAGATTTTCGACCGAAGATTTGAAATTTATTGTCAAAAGTTGACTAATAAATCTTTTAGATGCTCATTTTTTAAATTGCAAAGTTGCATCTAAATTTTCACCTTTCACCTTAATCAGATTTTCCAGCATTGTTTTGGGTATGCAGTTGTGTAGCCCACTCAATTCTGATATAATAAAGTGTAAGTTTTAAGTTGCTTAAGAATTGCGTTGATTTTCGGCAATTTTTTTAACGCAATTTTTTCATAAAAATTATGTGTATTCGAAAGTTCTTTTTGTATGGAAAAAATATGTAATGCATTCAGCAAAAAAATTATGGAGTTTGGTTTTAAGAGATTGAATTATATTGCCTTCCCCTCCTCCTGCACTTAAAGCTGCGCCTTCCGAAATCAATTGTTATTAAGCTAGTTCAAAAAAATCGTTGGTTGTTCTAAACGACAGGTAATTTTTTTTTAAATAAATGAATGTAACAGCTGAGGGTTTATATTCAAATCCTGCTATCAGTGATTTTGATAAAAAGTACTCATTGGGGTTAATTTTAACTTTACAATCGAATAGTAAATTCTTTTAACAAGCCACATTACATAAGGCCAACATTAACATCAGTGATGACTGTTAAGTCTCAGACATGTTTTAACATATAGTGTACTTAAAAATTTTTTTTGTTTTTTATTTACTTTTAAATATACATATGAGACATATGCCCAGTTTCACCAATCAATTTTAAAATTTATCAGACTGTTCACATTTAAAATTAAAAATTTTTCGAACAAAATAGTGTAATTTTAAATTCTAACAGGCTGATAAATTTAAAATTCATTGGTGCAACCGGGCAATAGTCCTTTACAGTGCCATAATTCATAACAACCTGAAAGTACTTATGTTTCGAGAAAATCTCTGATAGCAGGTTCTCGAAATGTAAATTGCTTCTATTTCTCAGATGGCCGGGAAACGAAGCAATGCTAGGGAGTATTTTAAGGAGTGGGATGGAAAGCATGCCACCTGTAAACAATGCCAAAGCAAAATAAGCTACAATGTGGATCCACTGGAAAATTCAATCGCCACATTAAACTGAGTTATCCTTTTCTGAGCAGAAATAATAAAGAAAGACCAATGCAGGGCGCTAAGCCGACACGGGACACGGGTACAGGATCAACTAAATGCAGGAGCAGGATGTGCACATTCTGATACAACGCAACTCAACACAACACAACACCCCACATTACAATACAATAAAACACAACATAACATGTACATAGTTCATTAATTTTATCTTTTTTTCTTTCTTTGTCTATACATTTCTCTCTATTGTTTCTCTATCTTTGTATCTGCCGTTTTTTTTTACCTTTTCACTAGCAGACCCGGCGAACTTCGTCCCGCCCAATTATTTTTTTTTATGGAAACATTTTGGTCTAACATTTTCACCAACAATTCACATTTACGATTTTCATTGGCACATTACCTACTAAGATTATGGTTTGGTGGTCATTTTCCGCTTTAAATAACCTAAGGGAAGTGTTATATCCGTGAAAAAGTTCTTGAAATTCTCCAACTGTGCAGCATTTCATAGCACAACACAACACACAAGGAAATAAATTTGAAGATTTTTTTTTCAATGACCCGGATCTATAGTGCATCTGTCCTAGAAGCTTTACAGTATAATTGGTGGCAGTTTTAGTATTTCAGACGAAATACTTTAAAAGCTTGAACGCATAATAGTATTGGAAAATCACATCCATTGGGCCAATCCTAACACAGGAGAGTTCGATATACTCAACGGTGTAACAGGTCGATTTAATCTGACCTTCACGGCACTTTTTCTCACTTGGCTACTTTTAGTAATAACTCGACTCCCGCGCCACTTGGCAGCACGTTTTCGAAATAGGATTGCTCTTACTAATACCAATACATATTTAAAATATTAGCCAAATCGGACCATAAATAATATTTTTAGTAATAACCCAACTACAGCGCCACCTGGCGGATTAAATTGTAAAACTAAACCATCCAGAGACCCACTCAAACACACATAAAAAATTTCGTTAAAATCCCTACAACCATTTAGGAGGATTTCACTCACAAACACACCTACAGAAGAATTATAAATACATTCAAAGATAGCTAAAAGTCGGTACGTTTGTAGGCCTCACGCCCCCTTTTTAAAAAGCCCCAATTTTCGCCATGAGTATTGGCTTGATTTCATATACAAACATAACTCCATACGAAGTTCCAGTACAGTACCATGAATACTTTCAGAGATATGCAGTATAAAAATTCGGTTTACATGGGAGGTGCCACGCCCCCCTTTCCAACAGTCCCTCTTTTTCTTCATGAGTATGCGAATGATTTCGTATATCTCCATACCAAGTTCCAGTATTCTACCATGAACACTTCCAAAGATATGCAGTATGATAAATTCGGTTTGTATGGGAGGTGCCGCGCCCTCTTTACCAATAGCTTCAATTTTTCTCCAAGAGTATGCGATTGATTTCGTATATCTCCATACCAAGTTCCAGAACTCTACCATGAACACTTCCAGAGATATGGAGTATGAAATAATTCGGTTTGTATTGGAGGCTCCACGCCCCTTTACATATAAAAATTTTTTAGCGTAAAACCATCCTTGGGACACGTGCGGCAGGTGTCCAAAGTTTCACAAAAATCGGTTCAGCCGTTCTCGAGGTTTGCGAACACTAAAAAACGGCTTTCAAAATATACATTAGTATAGATATATTATACATTATTATTAAAATTTGGCTGTATCCGTTGTTTCTGATTGTTGCAAAAAAATATGCCTAGTGACGAATTCGCCCCTTGATGTGGGTGGTGCTCAAAGCTATTTATATTTGAAATTGCAAGAACATTGGAAAACATGATCCTATAAGCTTATCCAGCAAAAAGCTACCTACGTAAAAAATTTTAATCAAATCGGACTATAGATACGATTTTTCGAATAGATCGGTCCCTGGTCCACTTCCCGGAAAAAAGGATCCTATAAGCTAAGCTAGGCAAAAAGCTACCTACGTAGCAAATTTTAAGCAAATCTGACCATAAATACGATTTTTTCGAATAGATCGGTCCTTGGTCCACCTACCGGAAAAAGTACATTTTTTTGGCCTAAAACATGGGTGGTTGCTGAAAGCTATTTATATACAAAATTTCATGAAAGTCGGAACAGTCGTTCGCGAGATTACCTGTTACAAAAAAGGGACTTCTCTTTGTATATTTAGTATAGATATATATCTTTTCCTGTCATAAATATATCGATGGTACTCTACATACAATAACAACACAATTCAAAACTAAAAAAATAAAAACTCGTACTATTTTTAATTGGCTCATGTCTTTAATCGTTGTCATATTCATGTATAATCTTTAGTACTTACTTTAGATAGGATTAGAAATGGGTTAGCCAAGGTATTATTAGATACATGAGCCTCTTAACAGTAATAAGGGATTTGATTTTTTTGATTTTTTAATTTTGAGTTGTGTCGTTATTGCAGACGACCATCGATATGTGAATTCATTTATTTCGGTAATGAAATAAATTCGAGCATAAATACGATTTTTAGTTACATATGCATATGCAACTCAAGCGCCACCTGGCGGCAATTTTTTTCGACAAAATTCTTTTTTGTGTTATCCATACATATTTTGATCCTGAGGATAATCGGACCATAAACACGATTTTATAGTAATAACTCGACTCCAACGTCACCTGGCTGCTTTTTTTTGCAATGGTATTGTTTTTCCTATTGTCAATGAATATCTCGAATATGAGACGAATCGGACCATAAATACGGGTTTTACTAATAACTCGACTACAGCGCCACCTAGCGGTTGTTTTAATAGTTATTCTGCTATTCGGAAGGTAGA